TCATGAACGCGTAATAATTCTTCCCCTCCCCAAGTTCTTAAGAGGTTTATTCTGAGAGGGCCCACTACAAGCATCGATAATTTAAAAATACTAACTATTCGAATCGATGATACATTTCTTTATTTCGTCTGCCATGGAGAAACCTGTCCGTTGATGGCGTGGCAATCCAGGATTGCAGCCACACGGGTCGTCTTCTTAACCATGGATGACTTTTAAACACAGATCTGAGACTCAATCTGAGGATGGCATATTGAGATTGGTTCTGAAATTGCCCCGTAAGGAGTGTTTTACTCACATGTAGTACTAATCTCATGAGGCTGCAGAAGGGGTGCGGGTTTTCTAAGGGTGGTTTCCCCTCCCTGCATGCCTATGATTTGTATGATTTCAGGCTGCCCTTCAAATAGAACAGCCCTTTCGAAATGCAGTACGTACTAGTAGTTTGAAAAGAATGCTACAAGTATACCACGCTTGCTGTTTCTCCACCAATCTTGTTAGGCTGTGATGATATTATAATATTCTTAGGAGATTCATGGGTTGAGGAAGTTTGATCTGTATCTTGGCAGGGCAAATCAAGAAGAAACTGAGGTTTGCAGCCATGGCTGTATCTTCTTTCCTTTACCCATTCAAATAAAATGATCTGATCCCCATAGTTTCTAACACTCCGGTCTTGTTTTTCTTTAAACTTTTCTTTCAACTCAATGTTTTTGGTTCAGTACTTTTTTATTATCAATTAAAACTAAACTATACACATTTAGTTCAACATTTTAATTCAACACTTAGGGGTTGTTAAATAGAACTTATTATCAGTACTGTTCAGTAGTGCTTACACTGCTTAGTTCAAGATGTTGAATATTTTCTTTGAATATTTTTTCAACTCAGTCCTTCTCAGTTTGGTACTTTTTAATTACTCTGTATCAATTAAAACTGAACATTTAGTTCAGCAGTTTAATTCAACACTTAGAGGTTGTTCAATAGCACTTAGGGGGTGTTTGTTTTTTGGCCAGAAGAGCTTCTGGCCTCTTTTGCCTGCGCCGCGCAGACGCGCGCAGATGCTGAGCTCTGCAGATTGTTTGTTTTTTGGAAGACATTTCACTCAAAAAGGTCTTCCTGGCATCTTTCTGGAGAAGACATTAACCTGTGTCTTCTAACATCTTCTCCATTTTTTTTCTTCTACTTCTCTTCACCACCACCACCGTCCACCACCATCACCACCGTCCAGGCGTCCACCATCACCGCCCCCGTCGTCCACCGCCACCGTCCACTACCGTCCACCATCACCGTCACCGTCCATCACCACCGTCGTC